ACTGTAGTAATCTGCAGTAACTTTTTATAAGGATGCTCAGCATCTCCAGTACCGGAGCTAGGAGCACTCAGCACCTTGCTTGGTCTTGCTGTTAGATATCTATCTTCTTGATTTGAGTGTGCAAGTGCCATTTAAATCGTTTTTTAAAAAATGCTCTATTTATGGAGCTTCAAATTTCTCACCCGCCAAGGCTTGCATAAGTTCTTTTATAAAGACAAAGAGGAGAATGAATGACCGATGGGGCACCTGTCAACTCTGCCAATACAATTATAAGGGATGAGACATACCAATCAGAGACAAGAACCGAAACAAGATGCATTTCTGAGTGCAGAAGGGAGCCAAAGACTCATTGGGAAGTGCAGTGTATTTCAGAAGTTCTAAATAGAGAAGTCAAAGGTTTATTCTGAAACCTGACTTTTTCTCTGCTTTACAAACCCTTGCTTTGACTGACAGAAACCAAATGGTCTTGGGTAAGACAAAAAATCATTTTGTAGAAAACCGAGGCCATGGGTTATCATGAGGTAATGCAACATCACAAAATACAGAGCAGGATCTGGTAGCTCTGACTCATGTGAGCAGGCCCATTGACTTTACTGGCACTACTCACCTGAATGAGGGCTGATGGGTCCAGTCCATAATTTGCCATCTTTAACTGAAGCCTATTATTTCTGTTGGCAGTAGTGCCTGGCCTGAGATTTCACAGGACACTGTGGGTAGTTCTACAGTGCAGTTAGACACATGCAGCTGGCTTATGCCAGCTGACTTGGGCTAAGGGACTGTTTAACTGCAGTGTAGATGTTTGAGCTTTGTCTGCAGCCCAGTTCTGGGACCCTCTGACCTTGCAGAGTCCTAGAGCCTGGGCTCCAGCCCAAGCCCGAACGTCTACACTGCAATTAAAGAACCCGTTAGCCTCAGCCCCACGAGCCTGAGTCAGCTGGCATGGGGCAGCGGCAGGTTTTTAATTGCAGTGCAGACATAACCTGTTTGATAAATGGGTATGAAATTAACTTGTGTTGCCACAGAAAAGAGGAAACAGAATCAGAGAGAAGATTTTGTAAAGGTTGTTCAAGAATACAAACAGGGCATAATTGTGTGGGAGACTCTCAATGGTTCTGGCTCCGGAGCTGCAATACTATATTGCTAGCAGCATCTCTGGAAAGCACATATGGTACCTGCTGCATATACTCTTCTACTGCGGGGTTTCCTCTGAACAAAGAACATGCAGTGACATTGCATTTTTTCAGCATGTCCATCTACTGGCCTGTAACAAACATATTCCTGATGCAGAATTCAGTGGACTCCTTTGCGAAAACAGAATCTTAAAAAGATGAGGTTGTTTTGTAATTTAAATTATTTTAAGGAGAAAAAGCCATTCACAAATAGCTTCCAAACTGGCATGCAGGAAACAAATGAGCCCCCTGTCGTAGAATGGAATACAATACCGCAATTACTCGAATGAATAGTGCTTACACATGTGAGCAGCCCCAGCGGGGTAGACCCTGGGAGATGCCAAGTACCTGAAATTCTCTATGAAATTCACATGTTGCAGAAGCCCACAAGACCTATGCAACATGGCCAAGTGGATGGAACACTGGACTGGGACTCTGGACTTCCCAACTCTGCTACTGGCCCACTGGATGACCTGGGGCAAGTCACCCTATCTGTGCCTCAGTTTCCCCATTTGTAAAATGGGGATGATAATGATACTCCCCTCCTTTGAAAAGTACTTAGAGATCTACTGATGCAAAGCACTGTATAAGAAGTAGATATTATTTAAGTCCAATTTAAGACCTATTTTGAGGGCTTAAGTACTGCACAGATTGTGTGCTGGCCCTTACTATTTTTTTTATTACTGTAGTATGTGGAGTCTCCAGCCAAGATCAAGGCCCCACTATGTTGGCACTGTACAAAAACATAATAAGAGATATTTCTTCCAATTGAAATAGACAAGCTAAACAAAGGGGAATGGAAACAGAGGCATGACATTAGTTGTCCATGTCACATTGCAGGTCAGTGGTAGAGTGGGGAATAGAACTCAAAATTTCTGATTCCCATTCCAGTGCCCCAACCATTAGATAATGCTGCCTTTCTACCCCACCCCACGTCACGTCAGGGGTGAATGTAACTCTCCATGTGAGTTGCAGGTGTTCAGCACTTCTCAAGGTTTGGCCATATGAATAGGACTACATGTGTGAGTAAGAGCCTTATTCAGGTAAGTAGATATGTCTACACGGTGCACTCACTGGGGCAGTGTGTGGGGTCCATGTAGTTATATGCCTCCGTGAAAAGCAGACTGCATCCACACTACAGTTAGCTAGCCTTTCCCTGATGCCTCCTCCTGCATGAGCCTTCCCCTGCTGCCAGAGTTTTTCTCTGGGGTGGGGAAAGGCTCCAACAGCTCTCTGCTGCCGGAGCTTCTCCCCACCACAGGGAGCTGCAGGAGCCTGTCCCCGCTGCCTCTCCCCTGCCAGAGCCTTTCCTGCCTGCAGCAGGGAAAGACTCTGCAGCAGGACACTACATTGCTAAATGGGGAAACACTGCCTGGGTGTGTAGAAAGCCGTGTAGGGTACGTACCCTAAAGTTCTGGCATATCTTTACTCCCTAAGCAATGCCTCACTTACACTGCTATTGACACTGTGCTGGGGGCCATGCAGTGTATGTACTCTGCACACCGCTGTAAAGAGTGTGCAGTGTAGACATTCCCTAGGGGTAAGATCAGGTCCTGTGCATTGTAACAGGGAGATAAGTGTTGCATTGAAAGGCAAACTGCTTCTACCGGTCCTTAATTGTGACAAATGACAAGTGATACATTTGTACTGTGTCTAGTAAAGATGCTTTTGCCCAGCTATTACCTATTTTTGGTTCATGCACCATTTGTCAGGGAGCCTGCTGACAAAATCACTTTGACAAACAAAACCGAAATATTCATTACTGTTTCACATGTTCATTAGCATACAATTTTAGACAAGCTTGGAAATCAATGTTCTGTGGGATCAGATAACATAGGCATTCTTCCCCTCCCCCCCGACACATTATTTCTTTCTTCAGCCCCATTCCAATGATCCTAGATACGTTAGGAGTAATTGTGAAATCAAGTGTGGTCCTTTCTTCAGTGTGTCAGTCTTTAAAATGTATGAAAAGTATCTAACAATGTACGTGTTGTTCTTTATGGATGGATCAATAAGAAAGATAAGGCTACAGCATTGTCAGAAATCCTCATCAGGTCCGTCACCCACATTCTTCCCTTCGTCTGCCCTCCGAGCTGGTGGCATGTTAACATCCCCACCACGTACGACACGATGCCCAGTTCCGCCCATCATGAAACAAAACAGAGTATGTTTTTCCTTTTGTTCACATTGCAGCTGTCATTGTTCCTGAGTTTAAAACCAAAAAGAGAGAGAGAGAGTCCCTGTAGTAAGGAAGCCGGATGATTCAAATTGAATATTTTATTGTCATTATCCCCTCACAGTTTTGAAAAATGTTTCTCCTGCTCTGTCCCTTTAATATTTATTTTTTTCCATGGGGTGTCATTGTTACATTTAATATCCCCCTGCACAGCAGGGATAGATTGTTCTGTTGTAACTTTGGTTCCATGCCCAAGGCCCATTTGTACTTCATCTGCTGATTCTGTTTAAATTTTTTTTTAATATGTTCACAGTTTGTTTCTCCCCCCTCCTTTTTTCTTAGTTTGACATATAGAACTTCATTAAATGCAGCATATATTGTATCTTTAGACAGGAACTGTCAAGTAACAAATCTTGAATAATGGCTTTAAAATACATGGTGGTTGTAGTCTTGGCTACAGGTTGTTGTTGTATTTTTAAATCGGTGTAAACAATGTTCTCTTCTTCATGGGTTTGGAAGCATTTGCCTTTCTAAGGACTTATCTGTGTAGTCTGGCACTCTACAAAATAGAAAAGAAAAACATCTGTGTTAGCTAAATGGAGAGATTGCATCTATCTGTCCATCACTCCCTCCCTCCCGCCCACGCACAGGGTTTTGGAGATTTTCCGTTGCTGGAAACGATTTAGTCAAGAATCTAACACATGGTATTCCTCAACACAGCAAGCTATATCCCTCTGCTACCAAAGGCAAGGATTTAGGACCCAACTTCTATACCCTAGAAGTCAATGGGAATGTTGCAATTGATTTCAGTGGAGCAGGGCTTAAGCCAGGTTGCTCTACCAGAGCTGTCTAAGGCCAGGTCTACACTACCGCGGTAGTTCGACGGCTGGCAATCGAACTTCCGGGTTCGATTTATCGCGTCTGGTCTGGACGCGATAATTCGAACCAGGAAGTGCTCGCCGTCGACTACGGTACTCCACCTCAGCGAGAGGAGTACCGCGGAGTCGACGGGGGAGCCTGCCTGCCGCGTGTGGACCGCGTCTGAACCGCGGTAAATTCGAACTAAGGTATGTCGACTTCAGCTACGTTATTCACGTAGCTGAAGTTGCGTACCTTAGATCGAATTGGGGTGTTAGTGTAGACCAGGCCTAAAACTTCCACAAGGAGAGAGACATGAAAGCAGGTGGAACTCTCCTGGTTTAAGGACAACCCCCAAGCCCTTTGTTCATGAAACTTTGAAGCGAACTTGGACTGTGTTTTGGATGAACCAGGACCAAGTTTGGGGTTTAGTTTTGAGTCCATCCACCCTGCTTATTACTGATTGGGAAGGATAAGGGACTTTTGCTTAAAACCAGGAAAAAGTTGGCATTTTTCTTCTGAGTTTTGCTTTGGGGTTTCAGGTCTATTTAAATTCTGAAACAGAGTGAAATTCACAGGGTGCAAAATCCATGCAAACCGAATGTCCTTGCACATACACACCTTTCCCTCCCAAACCCTCTCAACTAGGGGAATCTCATATCAACAGACTCCCGAGAGTTTTGCACAGATGGATTCTACAGTTCTTCTCCCATTCAAGCACTTTATTTCCTTCTTTGTAACCCTGTCCCCATCGTTCCTGAAAGCAACAGCTGTGATAGCTGAACTGACCCTAGAGGTCATGAATCCTCATCTGAAATTTCAGCTATGTATGCCCCCAGCTGCTTAAGGGAAGAGGAGATGATACACTGTAAAGAGAGGTATGGAAAAACGTACTCTTTTTGAACATAAAATGGGTCTCCAGCTACACGTCAAGGAAGTCTTACAAATGGATCTATTTAAAGTCTAAAAATTACAGCCTCTAAGAAAAGTGGCATCCAGGAGTACTATGGCAATTGGCAAAGACATTGATCCTTTTGCTTCATGTGCTCCCCCCACCAAATTATAAGAACCATAAAATGTTGATATCATATGATTTTTTTAGGACACTACTTTGGGACCCCTTACTCAAATGACCCCAAATTTGCACCACTAACCCTACCCTAAGACCTGATGAGGCAGTGCAAATTTCAAGGCAATCTGGGTGTGCCTGTGGATGTTAGAGCACTTTGAAAACCAGCTGTTAAATAGTATGCTAGTCTCAACTATAGTGATGCTACCATCCAATGATAATGCAGAGTTGTCTGCCAACGCCTCTCCCAAGGCTACCTATACCTCTCCCAAAATGTTCATGTGCTATCTTCCCTGCTCGCAGTAAGGAATGAGCACATCAGGGTGGGGGAGGTAGACTGAGGCCTGGTCTACACTACGACTTTAATTCGGATTTAGCTGCGTTAATCCGAATTAACCCTTCACCCGTCCACACTACAGAGCCAGTTAATTCGAATTAAAGGGCACTTAAAATCGATTTCTGTACTCCACCTCGACGAGCGGAGTAGAGCCTAAATCGATTTTGTTAATTCGAATTAGGGTTAGTGTGGCCGCACACCACCGAATTACTGTGTTTAAAGTAATGGGGTAGTGTGGCCGCACACCACCGAATTAATGTAGTTAAAAACCGAATTAAGGTGCTTAGTGTGGCCGCGCACAATCGAATTTATACAACCTGTTTCCCAAATTCGAATTATCTAAATTCGGATTAATCCTGTAGTGTAGACATACCCTGAGTTGGTGCAAATTGCACCCCTGGGATTTAGACAGAATTGGAAGAAGCCCTTTCAGTATGTTCTGCATTGACATTCCCCTGTACTTTTGTAATTTTTCCATTGTCATGGCAGATTTTCTGTTCTCGACCCAGATTGAGCTGTAAAGTTCACTTCCCCCTCCTTCCTGCTGATCTAAATCCCTCTCCCTGCTCATAGGAAGGCAAGCAGGCAGGGCATGGGTATGAGATCCTAATTTTCTGCATGAAAAACAACAAACAAACGAGTCTCTTCTTTGGATGGGACTTTAGCTGTCTGATGGGATATCCTAGAAATGCCAGATTTTGCCACCTGGACACAGCTCCCATAACTACACTTAGGCATGGAGTGGAGCAACAGAGGAAGACGTGAGCATAGATATCTAATCATATTAGACAATCTAGCGCCTACCTTTGAGCATCTGGGCCTGAATGACTGCCTAGACCTTTATGGTTCCCTAAGGCAGGGAAATGTAAGCCTGATTCTGATATCACAGCCTTGTAAATGAGGAGTAACTCCACTGGGCAAAATTCTGTTGTAGTTACACTGGTGTTATACATAAAGTAACTCTGATTATTTCAATGACATGACTGTTCATTTACACCAGTGTAAATAAGAGCTGAATTTGGCCATGTTGTAAAATCAGCCAAAGGGTGTGGGAAGAGATGTGTTGGGATAGAGATGGGTGGATCCTGATCCAGTGGAATGGTTCCTAGGTAATTGTTTCAGCCAATGTAAATTAGATTGGCCTTAACGCTGCTCTGATTTACATGGGGTGCCCACTATAATTCCAGCCAATCCATTAGATTGGGGGAAGCATAAAAATGGTTTAGAGTCACCCTTGACTGTCCCCTGGCTCTGTGAGTTCAGTACAGCTGAGAATTCAAGTCTGAGTCCAGCAATTGGCAAACATTCCATTATGTCCTAGAAATCTGAGATGAGTCACTTGCAGGTTGAAGGACGACTGTGTGCAAAGGAACAGAAATGATAATCTTCTGCATGGTCTTTACTGGACTGCTAATAAGAAGCTCCAACCTGAAGCACCCTCATCAGCTTTCTCTAGCCAGACATTACCTGGATGGACGAGCTCTCCATATAGGTCACTCTGGCATAAATGCAATTACCGAATATGGTGGTTACAATGTACTCAACTTTGCTTCTGATTTTTTCTTCCCATGTGACTGTCGGTAGACAGGATACTGGGCTAGATGGACCTTTGGTCTGACCCGGTACGGCCTTTCTTATGACTGTGCTTTCATCTCCTACTCTAAAGCAAAGGGAGGAGGTGACATGTCTGGGAGCAGGAATTTAGACTGACTTTCAGTATGTTGTGGAAATAATTAGGAGACTGTAATTTGAAAGTCACCATGTAACCCAGGCATACAAATACTCTCTGAAGAGTTTCTTCTGGCAGGCAGCCACTCAGTGTTAAAGGGCATGTTTAAAAGATTTCCACAGGCTCTCAGACAATAAGGAGTCAGGAATCTCATTTAGAAACTGTAGGCAGTTTTCTAATTTAGGAAATGTGTATTTCTAAAGATGTTGGCTTACACCTACGGCTCCTGAAAAGCCTTTCTCTGAAACTCTAATTCTGTGGCTCTTCCGTCCTATTTCTATACCAGAAAATCCCCCCTCCCTTTCTCTCTGGCACTCTAATAACATGTATAAATTCTCATGAAATATTCATTAATCCGTCTAAACCGGGAGCTGGAATTTTCCTGTGCTAATTGAAATGAAATTTTTTAACCAGCTCTAAATGTTTTTTCAATGAAAAAATGGCTTTTTTTTTGGTTATTTTGAAATTTCTGTCAGCCGTTTTGATGACATTTTGGGGTTTTTGTTGAAAAAATGAAAAATTTTGGCTTAACATTTTTGGATTTTTTTTTTAATTTTGTGGATTTTTTTCTTCATAAACCTGAAAACTTTTGAACAAATATTTCAATGCAAATGAAAACTTTTTGATTTTTATTGAAAATTTTGCTGGCACAAAGTACATTCCCTGATCAGTGCTAATGCTGATGCAAAATGCAATTTGCACAGCACGCTAGGGGCACCACACTGCAAGATTGGCAAAGATAGTATATAGAGCAGTATAAACGAATCATTGTCAGTATGAAATTTTAGTTTGCACTGACTTTGCTAGTGCTTTTTATGTAGCCTGTTGTAAAACTAGGCAAATATCTAGCTGAGTTGATGTATCCCCTAGAAGACCGCTGTGTACCCCCAAGGTCTAACTTGCTCTTAAAAATCTCCAGTGACAGAGACTCCACAACCTCCCTAGGCAATTTGTTCCAGTGCTTAACTATCCTGACAGTTAGGAAGTTTTTCCTAATGTCCAACCTAAACCGCCCTTGCTGCAATTTAAGCCCATTGCTTCTTGTCCTATCCTCAGAGGTTAACAAGAACAATTTTTCTCCATCCTCCTCATAACAATCTTGTATGTACTTGAAAACTGTTATCATGTTCCCTCTCAGTCTTTTCTTCTCCAGACTAAACAAACCCAATTTTTTCAATCTTCCCTCATAGGTCATGTTTTCTAGACCTTTTAATAATTTTTGTTGCTCATCCCTGGACTTCCTCCAATTTGTCCACATCTTTTCTGAAATGTGGTGCCCAGACTGGACATAATACTCCGGTTGAGACCTAATCAGCGCAGAGTAGAGCAGAAGAATTACTTCCCGTGTCTTGCTTACAACACTCCTGATAATGCATCCCAGAATATTTGCTTTTTTTTTGCAATAGTGTTACACTATTGACTCATATTTAGCTTGTGATTCACAATGACCCCCAGATCCCTTTCCACAGTACTCCTTCCTAGGGAGTCATTTCCCCAATTTGCATGTGTGCAACTGATTGTTCCTTCTTAGTGGAGTACTTTGTACTTGTCCTTATTGAATTTCATCCTATTTACTTCAGATCATTTCTCCAGTTTATCCAGATCATTTTGAATTTTAATCCTATCCTCCAAAGCACTTGCAACTCCTCCCAGCTTGGTATTGTCCTCAAACTTTATAAGTGTACTCTCTATGCCATTATCTAAATCATTGATGAAGATATTGAACAGAACTGGACCCAGAACTGATCCCTGAAGGACCCCACTCGACATGACCTTCCAGCTTGACTGTGAATAACCTCAAAATACGTCCCAGCTGCTGTGCTGGATCATCTTTCAGAAGTTTTGCGTCAGGAACTTCCAGTCAGTGGCTGGGATACCACAATGCAATCCCCTAAAAGCTGTTTGCTAGAGCCAGGAAATATATTTAAAATGTTGGTAACTCCAAAATGGGACAGTCAACTGTTTGGAAGAGCCAGGGATATAGACCTATCAAAAAACATGCTGCGGATTGGGATGTGCCCTGAAGATCACCCAGTTTGGGCTCTGTCTGGCCAACGGTAAGGGAATCCCAGTCAATGTGGCTCCTTGTGTGTTAGCACTCCTCACAAGAGCAAGGAATTGCAGGAACAGGCCATAAGGAC